ATATCATGCATTGACTTCTTTTTCCGGTGTATGTTTTCGCTACATGCTTTATTGTTTTCTCATTCGGCATTTTCTTTTCTTTTTTACCAACGTCATGATTTCTTTAAATGTCTCATTTGTAACTTCAATACCTGTGTAACTTCAATACCTGTGTAGATTTGACTAGTAGTAATTGTTAGCCAGAATTTCCAAAAGTATGGCATCAAATGGTAACAACATAATTTGAAGAAAATGAAGAATATGAAGAACGTTGTTACCAGTTGGAGAAGAAGAATTTGAAGAATTAGAAAAAAATGAAGAAAAGAAAGATGACTTATTTGTGTCTCTTTAGACGACACTTGTCTGACAAAAGTTACATAATTGAAGATAAATTATTGTTTTTCTTCACGTGAACAACAAAAAGACAAGTTACATAGTTTAAAAGAAAGTTACGGATGTATCAAAATTTGACTATAAATTCTCATTCAATGAAACAATCTTATTCATATTCCGGTGAAGAGAAAAAAAAATCGAGAGGCTTTTTGTTCTTCGAAAAAAAAAATTCACTATTTTTTAACTTATCAAAGCATAGAGAATAATCAAGTAAGTTTACATTCTTTTGTATAATTCGTATAACGTTTACATATATCATCATTTAATATTTATAAGAATGTTTTTTTCATATTACAATATTTATCCCACAAATAACATAACTTAATTGAGTTATATATTTTGTTAAGTATTTTTTTAAAATACCTTTAAATTGAAAATCAGGAATATTGTTATAATTATTTATGATTAAAAAAATTTAGTTATCAATTTTTTTTAAAAAATTAGTTGCATTTATATAAAAGAATTGATTATTTTTAAATAAATTTCTAAAAACTATACATAATCGTTTTTTCTTAAAAATTGAACATAAGTATTTGTATTTGAATTTATGCATCATTAAATATGTATATAGTGTGTAAATATTATCGATTGTTTTAAAAAATTACATATAACTAATATGTTTTTTAATTGTTGTTTAGCAGAGTTACAACAATGAGCGGTGCGGGAGATCCGGATGGTGGAACATCAAACGAAAACAATATGGTAAATTTATATTTCAAAAGTTTAGCTATACAAGATTTATACTACATAAATATATTTAATTATTGTGAGTTGTGAAATATAAATTGTAGGAATTTTCTAGATGGTCGTCAATGTTGAATTCTCTATTCATTGAATTATTAAAAGAAGAAGTGCAAAAAATAAACTATTCTTCGACATTGCCACAAAGAGACGGCAAAAGAAATATTATCAAAAAGATTCGTGAACGAACATGATTTATAATTGATTGGGATAAATGTAAGAGTAAACACGATGACTTTAGAGCCTTGTACGTGGTATATAAAAGTCTTGTTCGATGTACTGGTGTTTCCATTGAACCTGGTACATGAAGAATACTCATGGATCCACAATGGTGGCAAGATCGGAAAAATGTAAGAATTTTTTATTGCATATCATAGAATATTAATAATTACATATTTGTAAGTGTTTTTTTATATAAGAGAAAATTATGTTGCAGGACACAGAAGGGTCTTCAAGATTAAAAAAAATCATCTACCACGCATGGATTTGATGCACAAAGTGTTTGGCCCACATCTAATTATGGATTTTTAAAGCCAACATCTTAAAATTATATCTCCTTAAAAATGTTTTGACCTCTAAAATATTATATTATAAATTATGAATATTAATTTGTTTTATCAAAAAAATTAGCATATTACGCTGTTACCATTTAAATTTGATATTATTCAGCTAAATTTCGTAAGAAATCACTAAAAATTCAGTAGAT